TATAGCCATGAGTGCATATACTAAAAACACAGAAATATCTCAAATAAATGACCTTATGCTTCATCTCAAACTCCTAGAAAAACAAGAACAAGCTAAACCCAAAACAAGCAGAAGGAGAGAAATAATAAAAATAAGGAACTGAAATTGACTAAATAGAGAACAAAAAATATATATATACAAGGAATCAACAAAACAAAAAGCTGATTCTTAGAAAAAGTAAACAAGGTTGACAAATCACTGGCAAATCTGACTAAATAAAGAGGGAAAAGACCAAATTAACAAAATAACAGACAAAAAGATTTGATAACAACTAACACCAAGGAAATCACCAGGGACTACTTCAAAAACTTATATTCAAAATAACTGGAAAATCTAGAAGAATTGGACAATTTCTAGATTGTCCAATTCCATTTTGGATATGACATTCCAAAATTGAACCTCAAAGAAATTAATCACCTAAACAGATCTATAACATGCAATGAAATTGAAGCAGTATAAAGCATCTCCCAAGAAAGAAAAGTCCGAGACCTGATAGATTCTTTGCTGAATTCTACAAGACCATTAAAGAAGAATTAATACCAACACTCCTTAAAGTTTCCTATGAAATAGAAGGGGAAAGAACATTTCCAAACTCGTTCTATGAAGCCAGTATTACACTCATCCCAAAACTGGAGAAGGACACAATGAAAATCAAAAATTAAAAGCCAATCTCTTTAGTGAACATAAGTGCAAAAATCCTCAAAAAATAAAGGCAAACCAAATTCAACAGCATATCAGAAAGATCATACATCATGACCAAGTCAGCTTCATTCCAGGGATGCATAGATGGTTCAATACATACAAATCATGAAGTGTAATACAGCATATTAACAGAAGCAGACAAAAATCACTTGACCATCTCAATAGATGCAGAAAAAGCCTTTGACAAAATTGAGCATCCTTTCCTGATAAAATCTTGGACAAAACAAGGAATAGAAGGAATGTACCTCAACATAATAAAGGCTATATATGATAAACCAACAGCTAATATCATACTAAATGGGGAAAAGCTGAAATCATATCCTCTAAAGTCAGGAACAAGACAAGGGTGTCCACTCTGTTCACTCCTATTCAACATAGTCTTGGAATTCCTAGCCAGAGCAATAAGACAAGAAAGAGAAATAAAAGGTATACAAACAGGTAAGGAAGAGGTCAAACTATCCCTACTCACAGATGATGATTTTATACAAAAAAGAGTCAAAAACTCCACCAAAAAATAAACTCCCAGGTACTATAAAAAGCTTCACAAAGTAGCAGGAGACAAAATCAATTTTTTAAAAAAATCAATAGCTTTTATATACACCAACAATGAAGAGATTGAAAAAGAATATAAGAAAATAAATCCATTTACAATAGCCTCAAAAAAATCAAATACTTGGGAATAAACTTAACAAAAGATGTGAATGACCTTTCAAGGAAAACCACAATCCATTGAAGAAGACTACAGAAGATGGAAAGAGCTCCCATGGTCATGGACTAGTAGAATCAACATAATAAAAATGACTATACTACCCAAAGCAATCTACATGTTCAATGCGATTCTTACTAAAATCCTAATGACATTCATCACAGAGATTGAAAAATAAACCCTAAAGTTTTTTTGGAAGTACAAAAGATCACGAATAGCCAAGGCAATATTGAGCAAAAAGAGCAACACTGGAGGTATCACAATACCAGACTTCAACTATACTATGGAGCCATAGAAATAAATCAGCATGATACTGGCACAATAATAGATTTGAAGACCAATGTAACAGAATAGAGGACATGAATATGAATCCACACAGCTACACCCACCTAAATTTTGAACAACAACAAAAAAGTTTGTCAAATGTTTTTGCCAAAAACATACAATGGAGAAAAGACAGCCTCTTCAACAAATGTTATCGAGAAACTGGATATCTTCATGTGGAAAACTAAAACCAGATCCATGTCTTTCACCCTATACAAGTATTAACTCGAAGTGGATTGAAAGCCATAATATAAGACCTGAAACTTTGAAGCTAGTACAGGAAAGATTGATACATTGGAATCAATAGCCAATGTGCCCCACTACTGAAGAATGGACTAATAAAATGTGGTATTTATATATACAATGGAATTTTATCCAGTCACAAAGAATAATGAAAATTTGTCATTTGCAAGTAACTGGATAGAACTGGAGAACATCATCTTAAGTGAAGTTAGTAAGGCTCAGAAACCCAAAAGTCACATGTTTCTCCCATATGTGGAATACAGACCTAATACAAATACAGCAATATTGTGAAAAACTGGTTACATGAAGGGGAAGTCACATACAAGAGGGGTAGGGTAAAAGAAGGAAACGAAGATGAATATGGTTGATATACTCTCTATACAAGAATGAGCATAGAGCCAGGAGCTGGTGGCTCACGCCTGTAATCCTAGCTACTCAGGAGGCACAGATCAGGTAGATCACAGTTTGAGGCCAGCCCAGAAAAGTTCTGTGAGACCCTATCTCAAAAAACCCTTCACAAAAATAGGACTGGTGAAGTGGCTCAAGGTGAAGGCCATGAGTTCAAGCCCCAGCACCACAAAAAAAATAAAGACTTAAATCTTAAATGTGTGACCTAAAGAAATGAAACTACTGGAAGAAAATAAGGGAAACACTTCAGGACATTGGAATGGGCAAGAGTGTTTCAGACAAGACCCCAAAAGCATACATAGACCTAAAATGGATCACGTCAAACTAAAAAGCTTGTGCACAGCAGAGAAAACAATCAGTGGAGAGAAAAAACACCTACAGAATGAAAGAAAATGTTTGAAAACTGTGCAAATGGCAGTGGGTTAAGACCCAAAATATGTGTGGAATTCCAAAATTTTGATAGCAAAAGAAAAATAATACAATTAAAAATGGACAGTACATCTAAATAACCATTTCTCAAAAGAGATACAAAAATGGCCATGAAAAATATTTGAAAAAATGTTCAATATCACTAATAATCATGGAAATGCATCTCAAAACCATAGTGAGATTTCCCCTCATTCTAATAATAATGGCTGTTATTAAAAAGCAAAAAAAAAAAGTGCTGGCACAGATGTGGAGAAAAAGGACTCTTGCACATGCTGTGACTTGTACATTAAACATCTACTTTGGAAAAGTGTAAGATATTACTGAAAAATAAAAACAGAACTATCATATCATCTAGCAATCCCACTGTTAGGTATGTACCTGAAGTACATGAAATAAGTATGTTAAAGAAACATCTACACTCTCACTGTGCACTATGCACAATAGCCAAGAAATATAAACAAACTAAATGTTCATTGACTGAAGAATGAATAAAGATAATGTGGTATATACACAGAATGGAACACTATTCAGACACAATCAAGATCATTTGTGACATGGGCAGAACTGGAGACCATCATGTTGAGTGTATAAGTCATGCACAGAAAAACAAGTGCTGCACAATCCCACTCAGATGTGCAATATAAGAAAGTTCATCTCATGGAACTTAAGAGTGCAATGGTGATTACCAGAGGTTGGAAAGTAAATGGGGGAATGAAGAAAGACTAATCAAAATGATTACTAAGTTGCAGTTAGATAAAAGTATGAAGTTGTGGTATGTTATTGCACAAAAAGTTGGATGTCAACATCTGTTATGTACTGTATAAGTCAAAAAGCTACAAGAAAATATTTTGCCTGTTTTCATCAAAGGGAAATGGTAGTGTTTGAGAAGATAGATATGTTTAATCTAATCACACAATGTATACATGCCTGAACCTAAACATAACATGTTATGTTTATGTATAATTAATATGTATAATTATTTATACATATTAATTATAATATAATATAATATGTATAATCTTAATTATATATAATTATATACATTAATATGTATAATTTCTATGCTTTTATGTATAAGTTGAAATTGTAACTTAATTTAAAGAAATAAAAATAAGGAAAATTGTAAGTCAACTGTTGGAAAATTAAAAATAAAGTTTTGGGGGGATTTGGGAGAGACTTTTTGGTTTGTTTTGTTTTGTGGTACTGGGCTTGAACTCAGGGCCTATGGCTTGAGCCACTCCGCCAGTCCTATTTTTATGATGGTGGATTTTTTTCCAGATAGGGTCTCACAAACTACCTGGGCAGGCTTCAAACCACAATCCTCCTAATCTCTGCCTCCTGAGTAGCTAGGATTATAGGTGTAATACACTGACACCCATTAAAGTATTAAACCATATAACATAATATGTCCACAGAAATTGCACACAAATCTACAAATAAGTTTTTTCCAATGATGAGGGCTAAGGTCATCAAAATAATGTCAATTATACTATTGTGTAGCAGAAACAAAGAATGTTTTTTAAAATTTCACCATTAGGGCTGGAGGAGTGGCCCAAGAGGTAGAGCGCCTGCCTACCAAGCTTGATGCCCTGAGTTCAAATCCCAGTATTGCCAAAAAATGATGATAGATGATAGGTAGATGATAGATAGATAGATAGATAAAGATCATAATTTATATAATAAACTTAAAAAGTAATAAATGTGCAAGCTACTGCACTGAAAACAACATTGAGAAAATTTTTAAAAAACCAAATGAGTTGGGAACATAATCACATCCATTAATTCAAAGATTTAACATGCTAAAACTTCAAAAATTTCAAAATAACCTATATATTCAATGCCACCATGATAAAAATCTCAGAAAAATTTTCTGGGAAATTAACAAACTAAACTTTTTAACATATAAACACTTCAGAATACCCATCCTCCCCCAAAAAAAAGAAAAAATAGAAGAAATTTGGAAGTCACCAGCTATCAAGGCATGATAAAAAGCGTTATAGCCCCTAACAGAACAGCACAAAGTCTATGAACCTTGCCACACATATATGACTTTTGCACTTCCCTCATCTTTTGTTGGTAGAGGATTAAAACCATACCATGAATCCAGAAACAAAATAAGTGAATTGTAGTGTAAGAAAACCAAGTGTACCTTGGGGATGACAAAGTTCCTGAATCTAATGTTACGGATAGCTGCATGGGGCACATTGTTGGGGATGAGGTTAATGTATCTCTGGATCTCATGCACCATGGCATCTGTATAGGGCATCTGACTCCTGTCCTGCATACAGGGGCTTCGGTTTCTGCCAATCACACGCTCAATCTCTTCCTGAACTTTAGCTGATGAGACACAATTAAGAAACGTTAGGATAAGAGAAAAATGGCATATTTGTCATAGCAGCTCAAGCTTATATGATCAGAAGCATGACAAAGGTGTCCCAAAGGCATTATAAGGATAAAAGTCACCTAGAATTAGAGAAAGAATTGTTATTTTATAATACATATAACTCTCTTACAACTTAGACATTAAAATAAATCTGTATACACTAATGCATTAGTATACAGGGTAATTAAAGCAAACAGAAGAGGTGTAGTTCCTTAATATGTAAGTATCTTGTACATATAAATTCAAAATATTCATTTATTTACAGAAAAAAGCAGAAAACAGGAACTAATTTCACATCAAAATAATGATGCTTATAAATTAAATTCCACTAACACACTTATTTATGTGTTCAACTTGTAATGATAACCTCTTTCATTCTCACACTCCCCAAAAGCACTCATTTTGAAACATTCTAGAAGTTTCTTCTGTAGCATATGTTCACATTATAGATAATATTTCTATAACCTGATTGTATTATTTCTGGGCAACTTCTAAGTTTCCTGGTAATGGAGATGAAGAATTATATCTCCTTCACTATTTCACACAAAAATATATACACCAGAAACACACACACACATACTTCCCCTTACTCCATTTTCTCAATTGTAATTATACCATAATTCTTTTTAAAACAATATTCATTGTTTGCATCAATATGACTTTGGAACATTTTCCTAAGTAAGACAACTATAATTATGCTTCATCTTTTGTACATTCTTGAACTTGAAGGTGTTTATGTTGATTCCTACCCTTGAGATGCTGATTTTGAATTGTTGCAAATTTTCAGGTATATTTCAAATTCCTGCCAATAATTATCTCTATTTACTAAGAACATCAAACAATAATTTCTCTTTCGTTCTTGGTGTCTCCCCTCATCCTCCTCCATGAACTAACTCGATTCCTGGAGTGTATGATTTCTTCCGACTTTGTTTAGAACTTTTGGATGGAGCATACCCTTTAATATCTTCCTGAGAAAGTAAAAACATGAAGCTATTTTTGCTAATTTCAAGTCAGAAAATATCCCTGGTTTCTGATTATATAAGATGGCAGTCATTTTTTTTAAATAGCCAAAAGGCTATTTTGAGTCTTGATTTTCATAATGGCCTGATTTGCCTCTGAAAGTGTTGGTGATTACTCTTCTAAAACCTGCTGTTCTAAAATTTCATAGCCCTATGTCATGGGGCAAGTATTTTCATTTTATTCACTTTGCTCCTCTTCATTTGGTGAGAATTTTCTTTCTAGATAGCAAAAAGAAAAAAAAAAGATGTCTTTCCATGGGCACTAGTCATTCTCTGGAGTTTTTCTTAAGCTGCTGAGTTTCAGGAACAAGATGGAGAAAGGAGCTAAGGCCCTCAAATCTTTCAACCCTGCACTTTGCTCTTTCCCTGTCTCTTTTAACCCTGAGTGCTGGACCTGTGGGGTTCAGTTTCTCTGGAGAGTTAGCCCCTTTTCTCTGGGTGAAAAGAATTGCTTGATAAATGATGATATGAAGGGAACCTGGGCAGGGAAAGCCTCCTGTTTTTAGCTTCATTCTCCCTCATTTACTTTTGCAATTAAATCTTTAATATACTGAATCTCTGGAGGTTGTAGGGGCACAAATTGGCCCGTTTATCCATGATAATTGTTCTTATTATGGTATTTAGGGAACAATTTCAACCTCTCTGCCTGAGTATTTCTCTCTCCTCCATCTGTTTTCTGTGCTTTAGAAGTTTTTAGAGACTAAATGGATGTTTCCCATACTTCTTTCCTGCAACTTACATAGAGGGAATTCTCTTCTGTAAGTAATCATCATTTTAATGTGATCCTAACCCAGAAAAGCATAAGACATGGCTAATTATCTCTGCATTACCGAAATTTGTTTCAAGTTAAATAAAATGAAAATATTTTAAAGTTGCTGTTAAAATATGAAATCATTGACATTTAGGGAAAAAATCTCATTTGACAAGTACCATTTTTTTACACTCAGACTTCGGAAAAATAAAATTCAATAGGCACAGCTGTCTCAGTCACTTGTACCTTCCTTATAAATGTAACCTACTAGCATACCTCCCAGTATCTGGAAATTTTCTCAAGTCATCTATCTATTCTGTAGAACAATGGACACTAAGCTTCTATAAGTAGAGTTTCTATCTTCTCTCACCCACGTTAGAACAGCACAGTTTCAGAATGAGGAAATATCTGTAAGGTCATACCTATTATTCAGAGCGATCTGTTCTTTACAAAACCAACATGCAATGCTAGGCCAATTTATGCTGCTTTTGTGCTGCAAGTTTGCCTCCCCTGAAATTCAATCATTATTCAGAACATTGGTCATTAAAATCCAGTGTTTTGATGTTTTTACTACTGCTCACAGTGATTTCACTTCTCTCGCTCATTTTCCCCTGTTGTCAAAATTTGTCTCATTTTTAGCCTTCTCTTAAAGAAAAAAAACTCTGGAACACACTGACAGTGTCTCATTTTCATGTCTGTGATCGTACCTCGGACGTCTGGGTGTTTAAGCAGGAGCAGGAGTCCATATCTGAGGGTGGTGCTTGTTGTTTCTGTTCCGGCTATAAATAGATCAGTAACAGTGGCCATCAAGCTTTCAATAGTAAATTCAGACTCCCAATTGTGTTTTTCCTAGGAATGTTTGATTATTTAATTATTAGTTACCAACACATTAAATTACAATTAATCCAAAATAATACAGGTTATTCTCAAGATAAGCAAACTTATAAAATGGAAAGTGTAGTATAAATTCTAAAATAACTGCATAGTATGGTGGAGAATGTAAACCAGTTGACCCAAAGTTTATGTCCTGCATCTCTTACTTCCTACTTCCCTCAAAATTCCTTTTCCTTGGTTTTATTATAGCTACATTAGCCTTGCAGCACATTATGTACCAACAACATAACAGAGGAATATGCTAATGCCACTTTCTCTCTCCTTCTTCTCACTTAAAACACACATGGGACAGTGGAGGTGGTACAGGTATCACCTTAGAACATGAGTCTATTAGAATCAACAGTAATGCTCATGTACTATGTAGAACAATAGAAAATGGAAGGCACATTCGATGCTTCAAAGTTACTGTGTTACTTCTGGACTAACTAAATAGATTAGATAAAGAGACTATTTTTAAGCCACCATTAATTGAATTTTTTTACATTCACACAGAATCTTAATTGATACAAAAAGAAAATCAGAGACATAACGTAAAATACTATGTGCCAGAAACCAGAGTTTGCAAAAACTTTTTAGCATGACTTCAGAAACAAATTTGAATAGGAGACTCCTAACGCTCCACCCATGGATGCACTAAGTCAATACCTATACACAAATCAATTCCTTCTGAAAGAAAGTCAGGAATAAGTTTAGAGACTCTTACACATTCAGCCAACTAAGAAAATATTCATACCAAATGGGAAGTAAAAGCTGCAGTACATTTGGGCAATGACATTGAGGCAGGCTAGGTTAGGGATAATCTGGGACTGCTCCCCCTTGGCTTAAGGGCTCCCTCCCCTTAGCCCACAGGTGAGAGGAGCCAGGTGATAACATAATGTCTCCCCACCTCTAAGTTCAAGGTGGTGTAAAAACAACCTACCAAGAGACCCCAGCCCTTCTTCTTTTCCCCTTTCCTCACCTGGCAGAATGGGTGACTCCCCTTCCTCAATAAAGCTATTCTATTTTACCCCATCCACATGTTCTGCTTGGATTCTTCCATTTGGAGCACAGGGTCCAAGATCTTTTGAGAACAACGATTGCTGATAACAACATGACCCCCAAGAACTGTACCATATAATCCAGAAAGAATCCTTAATACTAAGATTTTTCACTAAACAAAGGAAAAATTGGACAATTATAACACTCTAGCTCAACAGTTACCCATAACTTGACTCTTAATTCACAAATCTGGAGCAGAGACGGCCAGTCACACATATGTTCATATAGACTACAGAGAAGGTGGCTGTTGTAAATAAGCGTGCAAAAACCTCCGAGGGCTTCATCCCCTGGGACCATGGAAGAAAGCATGTTAAAACATAAAAGTCCCAATATCTCCTTGAAAAGGACATGCTAACATACTCTGCCAACTGCTGCCACTCACAGTTGAGCTTCCAACTGTGAGATTTCCAGACTGCATAGGAAATTAACTGTTCCAGCAAGCAGCAGATCACAGGCATCATCAATGTGACCGTCCCCCAAATAATAACTTCAGGTGTACCCATTCCATCTGAAAGTAGCTTGTATATGCAGTGAGTGCCCCAATTTCTACAGCAATTTGGTATTGTATAAATGGCCATACTTCCCAAAGCAATGAATGGATTCAATACAATCTCTATCAAAATTTTAATGTCTTTATTCACAGACATAGATAAAATAATCCTAAATCACAAAATAGCTCAAACAGTCAAAGTAATCATTAGCAAAAGGAATAAAGCTGCAGGCATCACACGACCTTCAAAATACTGCAAAGTTGTAGTAATCAGAACAACATGGGACTGACATGAAAATGGAGACATCAATGAATGAAATAGGGTAGAGTCCAGAAATAATTGCATACATTTTTAATCATTTGATTTTCAAGAAAAATGTCAAGAACACACAACTGGGAATGAACGGTTTCTTCAATAAATGGTGCTTGGGAAAACTAGATAATCACATGCCAAAGAACAAAATTGTACAATTCTTGAATGATAATCTTCTCAAAATTCATTAAAGACCTAAATATAAGGCATGAGACTATATAATTACAATAAACATAGGGGAAAAGCCTCCATGACAATGGTCTGAAAGGTGATTTATTAGCTATAACCACAAAAGAACACACAACAAAATCAAAACTAAACAAATAGGATTTCATCAAACTAACAACTTCTGCATGGCAAAGATAACAGATTAGAAGGACAATCTGTAGTATGGGAGACAATATTTGCAAATCACACATCAGAGTAGGGACTAATATACTAAATATATAAGGAACTCAAACTACTCCATAACAAGAAAACAAATAACACTATTTGAAAGTGGACGAATGACCTAAATAGACTTTTCTCAAAAGAAGACTGACAAATGACCAAGAGATCTCTGAAAAACACTCAACATCACTAATCATCAGGTAAATGCAGATCAAAACCACAATAAGATATCACCCTATTCCAATTACAATGGCAATTATGAAAAAGATAAATGATAATAGGTGCTGGTGAGGATGTGGAGAAACAAGAACCCTTGAACATTGCTGATGGCATTGTAAATAAGTACAATCATTTTGGAAAACAGTGTAGAAGATTCCACAAAAGACTAAAAATGGGATAAATATGACTCAGCAGACTTACTTCTGGTTACATATCCAAAAAGAATCAAAATTATTGAGTTAAAGATTTTTGTCTGCAAAGATTTCTTGCCAGAAAAATGGAGAAGAGGAAGATAAAACAGATCTTGTCGGGGGTTGGCACCAGTTGGAGGGGGAAGGATTAGGGAAAAGGTAGAAGAGAGTAGACATGGTGTAAATATTATGTACTCAGCTATAAAAATAGAAAAATAAGACCTGTTGAAACTGTTTCAGGAATGGAGGGAGGGTAACTGAGAATAATGGAAGGGTGAATTCAACTATGATACATTGTAAGAACTTTGGTAAATGTCACAATGTACCCCCAGTAGGACAATAACTTATAAAAAGATAAAGTAATAAAAAAAGAAATTAACAAAGAAGTCTAGATTCTACATATGACAGAAAATATGCAGTATTTATCTTTTTGAATTTGGCTTACTACACTTCTCATGATGTTCTTCAGTTCCATCCATTTTCCTGCATGTGACATAATTTCAATCTTCTTTACGACTGAATAAAATTCCATTATGTATTAATACCACAAAAAAAAGATTTTTATGCCAGTGTTTCTTGGATTGTACTTTTTTATAGAGAAAACTGTAAACAGTTAAAGAATGTTGGTTAAACTGAAATACTTGGTTATAGAATTATGCATGGTGTTAGAGGGTTCCTATTTGTGAAATGGATGTATTAAAAATAATAAAAGTTTAGAAACTAAAAAATTGGTTGAAGAGTTATCTGTACTCCCACACTAATTCAAGCATTATTCACAACCTCAAAGATATGGAAACAACTAACAAGCCCGTCAACAAATGAATGTATTTTTAAAATGTGGGAGAGATTGAGATCCAAGATGGCTGAATAAAGGTGACCTGTGCTTGCTTCTACCATAAAGATACAACAGAGTCAAAAAAGAATGGTTATGGATTTCAAAGAGAATGATTGATGGTGAACTCTAGAACTCAGTAAAGAAGTAATGGGAACCTTGAACAGCATGAAAACTTGGTGGGGTGGGGGGCGGGCAGAGCATAGAGAAGAAAACAAAATGCATTGCAACTATGACCCTCTATCCACAGCCAAGGGAAACTCCACATTGCCATGAAAAGATAAATGGGAAAGCACTACTAACCCCCATAGTCACTACAGACTATCAGTCCTACAGGAGAATGCCACAGTCCTCACAGGCATTAAATCCTCTTTGGGGACTGATAACCAGAATATACAGGGAACTTAAAAAACTAAATTCTCCCAAAACTAATGAACCAATAAAGAAATGGGCACATGAACTAAACAGAACTTTCTCTAAAGAAGAAATTCAAATGGCCAGAAAACACATGAAAAAATGCTCACCATCTCTAGCAATAAAGGGAATGCAAATTAAAACCATGCTAAGATTCCACCTCACCCCTGTTAGAATAGCCATCATCAGCAACACCACCAACAACAGGTGTTGGCGAGGATGCGGGGAAAAAGGAACCCTCTTACACTGTTGGTGGGAATGTAGACTAGTACAACCACTCTGGAAAAAAATTTGGAGGCTACTTAAAAAGCTGGACATTGATCTACCATTTGATCCAGCAATACCACTCTTGGGGATATACCCAAAAGACTGTTACTCCAGAGGCACCTGCACATCCATGTTTATTGCAGCACTATTCACAATAGCCAAGTTATGGAAACAGCCAAGATGCCCCAGCACTGACGAATGGATTAAGAAAATGTGGTATCTATACACAATGGAATTTTATGCAGCCATGAAGAAGAACGAAATGTTATCATTCGCTGGTAAATGGATGGAATTGGAGAACATCATTCTGAGTGAGGTTAGCCTGGCTCAAAAGACCAAAAATCGTATGTTCTCCCTCATATGTGGACATTAGATCAAGGGCAAACACAACAAGGGGATTGGACTATGAGCACATGATAAAAGCGAGAGCACACAAGGGAGGGGTGAGGATAGGTAAGACACCTAAAAAACTAGCTAGCATTTGTTGCCCTTAACGCAGAGAAACTAAAGCAGATACCTTAAAGCAACTGAGGCCAATAGGAAAAGGGGACCAGGTAGTAGAGAAAAGGTTAGATCAAAAAGAATTAACCTAGAAGGTAACACCCACGCACAGGAAATCAATGTGAGTCAATGCCCTGTATAGCTATCCTTATCTCAACCAGCAAAAACCCTTGTTCCTTCCTATTATTGCTTATACTCTCTCTACAACAAAATTAGAAATAGGGGCAAAATAGTTTCTGCTGGGTATTGAGGGGGGAGAGGGAGGGGCAGAGTGGGTGGTAAGGGAGGGGGTGGGGGCAGGGGGGAGAAATGAACCAAGCCTTGTATGCACATATGAATAATAAAAGAAAAAAAAACTATTTAAAAAAAAATCCTCTTTGGAAGCTGACAGTGTTCCATGTGATGTCTTTGCTCCAGGGAAAGAACACACATAATCCAAGCAGCTAGAGTGTGATGTTATCATTAAAATGGAGTTACTGCTGGAATTTATCCTGGGAGTCTAGGTGCCAGTGGGTAGCCTGGAATATGTGGCTCCTGCTGCCATCAGCCCCAGCACTAAGACTCACTTTGTGGAACTGGAGGGAAAGCTCCTCCATAACTCACCATTCTGGAACTATGGATGCCAATACTACAGTTTACCACCATTGGTATGAGCCCCTCCATATTCCATGACTCCTGGACTACATCTGCCACTGTCATAAATGCAGTACCAGAATCAGTCACCTTTTAAGAACCTAGGGACAAGACATTTGACATCCTGTGGCTCCAGGATCTAAGCTGCCACCTCCACAAGTCCCAGTACAAATGCTGCTTCACGGGTCAAGGCTTCGGACGGCCTTCTCCATGCTCTCCTGTACAGGACAGCAGATACTGCCCCACAGGCCCAGAATTGGTGCTCACCTCACATGACCTGAGAACAGTCACCCCCATGTCCCACATCTCCAGGTACACACTGCAGCTCCACAAGCCCAGAGGCACCAGCACTTGGAGACATAGGAAAACATTTGATGATACAGACATAAGTAATGACTTTCTGAATGAGACTCCAATTGCTCAGGAAATAAAAGCAAGAATTGGCAAACAGGATTGCTTCTGCATAGCAAAGGAAATAATTACAAGAATTAAGGGACAATCCACAGAATGGAAAAAACCTTTGCCAGCTATTCATCAGATAAAGGATTAATATCCATAATATACAAAGAGCTCCAAAAATTAAATACTAAAAGAACAAACAATCCAATTAATAAATAGTCAAATGAACTGAACAGAAAATTCTCAAAACAGGAAATACAAATGACAAATAAATATAACATCCTTAGCCATAAAATCAAAATGACATTGAGAGTCCATCTCATCCAAATCAGAATGGCAATCATCAAGAAAACAAACAAAAACAAATGCTGACAAGGATGTAAGAGAAAAGGAACACTTACACACTATTGGTAAGAATGTAAATTAGCACAGCTGCAGCCATTTTAAAAATAAGCATAGATTTTCCTCAAAAAACTAAAACTATATATACACTTATACATATGATATGTGTATATATATATACATATATATGATATGCATATATATGTATGTTTTATATATATATATACACAAAATGGAGTATTACTCAGCCATAAGAAAGAATGAAATTGTGTTATTTGAAGGAAAAATGGATGGAACTAGAGATTAACAGGTTAACTGAAGTAGGCCTGATACAAAAAGACAAATATTACATATTTTCTCTCATATGCATAATCCAGATTTTTTAAAACATAAAAGTAGAAGGAGAACTATTTCGGAAGAAGAGCTATTTGGGAAGAAGGGGCAAGCAGAAATGAAGAGGGGGACAAAAGAGAGTAATAGGGAAGGTGAATATGATCAGAGTATATTGTATATGTATGAAAATGTCAGAATAAAACCTAGTGTTTTGTACAACTAATATACAGCAATGAATAACAGAAAACAAAAATTAAATATAGAACATATTTAATTAATGAATTGATTGAAAATTTTTTAAGAAACAAAATAAGAATGCTGCCAAAAATAAAAAGGTGGATTCTGAATACTATGATCCAAGGGATAATACAGTTTTTAAATACAGTATGGAGGAAACAGTCATGGTAAATGAAGTCCCAGGGCCTTCAAACTGACTGTAACCTGGAATTAATAATAAAACTTCATAGAATTAGGGAAATCCTTTAAATGTGTACAAAATATGAAGAACCCAAGTAGGTACATCCTTCTGGTAAGGTTTTATAACTTTAATGAGATTCTCTAATTATACCCAAAAAACTGAGTCATTGCCCTTGCCAAGAACAAAGTAGAGGGTTTAAGCAATTTGCTTATTCCCTGCCCAAGTTTCTTCGAACTATTCCCTCTTCTTCACATCATTCCATCTAGAACACACTACTTCAACTTTCCATGCTCAAATTCTTAGACAGCCACCTTCATCAGCAATTTGAGTCCTTGACATTTTAGTCTACTAACAGACTTCTCATCTCTGCCCAATGCTACAAAGAGGTAGAGCAAAATTATGACATCCTCAGACAGAGGATTTATTCTCCATGTTAACCCTTTTCAGCTTCTTCTGGACAGTCCCACACCCCAGTTCAATGTGAACTTTGTTCCTATCACAAGTAAGCATCCTTATGTTATCTATATTGTGCTTCTCAGCCAGTTTCCAAACTGACCCTACCACCATTTACATTCACCATTCCAGTCATGTCCTCCTTGGTTAATTTTATTAAATAGCATAAAATGTCTCATTACTACAATTTTCCCCACAGACCCTATTATTTGGTCCCCATCTATTTCCCTAACAGAAGCTAATATATATGGAGCTCTGAAATTATGACAAAATTTATGACTTGATATTATTTCTGAATCTGCATTTCCATAATCCCGATTTTCATCAAGCCAAAACCCAAAGAAGTGAAAACTCTTATAGCTAATCCTTGAGCTCCATTTTCATCTCAAACATCATTCTACTAAACCAGGATAGTTTTCCCTGAGTATTATCTGCGTTATACTCTTCTTCTGGTTTATACATGTACCTAATCAAATCAAAACTCTCCGTGCCAACATTCAGGTTTGCAGAGTAATTGAAAAACATCTCTACCTCCTTATTTGTCCAGATTCATTTTTGGTTATATTCATTTAAGGCTTTAGTCTTCCTTTGTTTTGCCACCACACACATCTTTTTTTGTTGTTGTTTTGTTCTTGCCTATTACTATATTGTTTTTAGATTTTCTTTCTTTTTTTATTTTTGTACTGGGTGAGAGGACATTGCACCACACACATCTCACTACATCATTCTACCATCTGAAACCACCCTCCCTCATTCCTCATTGCAAAAACTTGAAGATCTGTGTCAAACCTCAGGAAAAATAAGAACCCTGCCTAAGTTAAACTTTTCCCTCTCATTCCCCCATACACTGTGTGATATGACCATGTCTACTTTTAAGGCTTCATAACTTGTATTTTCTAACGTCTTTGTATTTCCAGTTCACCTAATAGGTGTATTCTATCTTTCCTCAAATATACTATTTGAACCTATATGCCCATATATCCTAATTGTTTAACAATTTAATTCTAAATCTTACATGATGCTTAGTTCTGATTCATGCCGTAAGGTACTAAAGTGCTTATCAAGTATTTCTTGTCCAACCAGTTACACTTTCCCAATAAATATAGAAATTAACAAACAGCTACAAAATGCAAGCAAAGAGTGACACTTTACCTGTTCCATTTTGATCAGGAAACAATCAATGAAGTCCCGAGGACTGTTGATATCCAGGGATTCTTGGTGTTCTTTTACTTTCTCCAAAACATAACTCTTTATATCAGCAAAATTTTTAAGGACTTTGTTATGACTCCCTGGGAGATAATCAAGGATAGCAGGGAAGGTATTGCAGACCTTAAAAATCAAATACATACATATATATTCATTAGGCTAAGTGTGGTGGCACATAGCTATATTCCCAGGTACTTGGAAGGCTGAAAAGGGTGCATCACGTGAGCCCATGAGCTTGAGACAAGCCTGAGTAACACAGTGAAAATCTCATTTCAAAAGAATTATTAAATTATAAATCTGTATTGAAGTTGTACACACAACATGCCAATTCATGGTTAAAAAATAAGGTGAAAAATGGTCTCTGTTTTGATCAAGAGTATTTGATTCAATATATGAAGGACTCTTTAATGCTAACAGAGATTTAAGGGAAAAAACTGACAGCATGACCAAATATGGTAAGTATTTTCTGTCATTTCATTTTTACAGTTTTAAAGCATCTTAATGCCAATTCTCTCATTTTTTAACCTACAACCTTGAAATACAGAATTGCATAAATTGCTATGACTCACATTTTATAAATGAAGACAGAGGTTAAAGAAGTTTGAGCAACCTAATATAGAGCACAGAGCCACTTCCTGCTCTCTCTACTGCTAACAATCAACCTCAGGAATAGAATCAAGATTTTAGAACTGGGAGGGGTGCAAAGATATCATGACCCCAACTCAGCATCTTATGATAAATTTTATGCCAAACAATGAGATAAAGAAGTCTTTAAGCTTTGGCTGACAGACAAGCCTGTGGGTAAAGGAAACTTTTCAATAAGAACCCTTGATGTCCACCGAATGCTAAGACATGATTTTGGACCAATCACCAAAGTACTGCCTGGACGGGGATAAAGGAGAAAAATGGAGGGGATGAATTCAAGTATGATATATTTGATATATTTTAAGAACATTTGTAAATGCCACAATATACCCCCACACAGCATAACAATTAAAAAGAATGTACTGCCTGGAAACTCAAGTTTGGTGGAAAAATCACTAGCCAATGAACTGAATTCCTGCTGGTTGTTCAGGCATTTTTATCTTGTTGTCTATAACATAAAGGCCTTGACATCATTCTGAGATAGGTTTGTGGCAGATACTAAAATCCAACAGGACTGCGGAGTCCAAACAATCACTTCACAGTAGACAACTCCAAAGACCACTGCGTCACAAAATTTTCAAAATCAACCAAAAATTGTCAGAACCATCATTGTCAGAACTCTGGAAAACAGTCAAATGTTTACAACAACCAGTGGAAAGCTGAATGAAAAAAAAAGACAACTTAAAAATGGTAGGAAAGTTTTGTGGTATTGCTTTTGCCCTTGTCCAACCTCCTTCCTTGACTTGGCAGTCTCCTTGACAATGGCAGTCCTGTTCCCAGTGTGCAACCCTGGGTCTTGGTTCCTGAGGAATAGAGATTGTGTATCTATTCTAACCTGCCACAGGACTACCTGAAGAACTGAAGTAAGGCACTTGTCTTTGTTTTATCTAGCTCAGACTTCACCAGGGTAGAAAAGCAAAAAGCAATTTCAAAAACCTTACGTTGCCACTAAGCAACTCAGGGTCAACTGGGACAAAATAATACAGTTAAGGCACATGGTAGAATACCAAAACCTTGGGAAGAAAAGCTGAGGAGAGAGTACCTTTGGAAAATTAAGACATTCAAAAGCACCTATATACATTGATGAACTCAAAAAGCTAAGAACATGCCCAGGGCAGGACACAGGCTAAGAAAACACCTGAAGACCCTAAGCTTTCACTTCTCCTGACTTCAAGATTGTGCTTAACACCAAATGAAGTCTCAACACACAGCCAATCTGAAGGAAATTTCTTCCTCCCTTCATTTTTCTCTATTTCCTTTTATCCTTTTTGTCTTCCTTCCTTATATTCTCTCTCTCTCTCTCTCTTTCTCTCTCTCTCTCTCTCTCTCTCTCTCTCTCTCTCTCTCTCTCTCTCTCTCTCTCTCTCTTCCTACCTCTCTGTCAACCTAGCTGTATGTATCTTAAGGAACAACACATGAAAAAGAATATACATTTTATAAAAATTGGTATAGAAAAGTCACTAAATCAACAAATTAGCACAACCAGAAGGAAGGAAGGAGATAATTCTGCTTCCCAGATGAAATTTTATAAACCAAGTTGTTAGATTAAGATTTGGAAAGTGGACATTGGGCATTAATGTAGAGTTTTGGACTCAAATGAGCATAAATGATTTTTTTAGGAAAAGAAGATCTTGGTCTCACCTGCATCCATGGGGAGTTTAAAATTTTAAAGTTTTCATTGAATTTTCCCATCAGGTTAAGAAAATTCTGATCTTTATAATCAAATCGATTCTGGAAAATAATGGAGCAGATCACATTGCAGGGAGCACTGCCCAGGACAAAGGTGGGATCACAGGGTGAGCCTGAAGAATTGGAAACATTTTTTTAAATACCATTAAAATACACATATGAAGGTCTTTGTCTTCTAACTTATAAACAGTGGTAATTTTAACACAGAAATTAAAACAATATTGAGACAGAAATTACTTTCTCTGCAATAATTTCCATATGCTTAAAATCAACATTTCCTTAAGCTTTAACTAACCATTCTACTCTGGTGTATTTAATAATCGTTATACAAATTCTCCATGAACATCCATAGCCTTATATGAACCTCACTGCCTCTGTATAATATACACCAATCCCAGATCTCTATTACTTTGGAGAACAAAAGAAAGTTGTAAGTGGCCACTTTTAAATGCACCCAATATTTCAAGTTATCAGTGAAGAATGACATGTATCTGGGAAGCCTGTAGATAATTGAGGCAAAAAGTAGACAAAATGAATAGTTGAAAGAACTGCATGAAGATGTAGCACAGAGAAAGACTAAAGAGAGGAATGATTGTGGGAAATGCAGGTATCTCGTGAAACAAATGTAAAATTACAAAAGCCATCCACATTGCATGAAAAGGAAAAGTAATAAAAATGAGCACAAAATTTAAGACAGATTTGTTTCCTAGAATAAAGTGAAACAGAAATCATTTAAAATTTAAATGTATTCGTATAAAACATAAAAAGTTAAATTGAAAAAGGAAGTCCTTTTATTTCTTATTTCAACATTAAAAGGGGAAAAAAAAGAATTTCATGCTCTAGGAAATAGTGTCTAACATCACCAATCAGATCCTACTTTAAATTATTTGGACACAGCCTGCCCTCTCGTGGAATTCTGGGTTATTACCTTTATAGCCACCAAGAGAATACTTTGTTATCAGAAAGTTTTTAATTTGACCATCATTTAGGTCAATTTAATCATTTTACGAAAAAAAGAAATTAAAGCAGAGGAATTTTTTTCATTTTTCATGTGTGATACTTAAATAAAATTATTGCAATCAAATCATTAATAAACCTCATATGTAAAAGCTCTCAAATTCACCTTATAGATATAAAGGGTGACTCATATGAGCTGGGGATGGACCTCAGTGGTAGAGCATTTGCCTACCACATGCAAGCCCTGGGCTCAATCTCCAACACCACTACCAAAAAAAAGGAAAATCATTGTGAAGAAATAACGGGCAATTAAATAACAGAAAGCTGTTTACTCAATAGCTACTATGGCAGGCTCCTTTAAAGGAGAAACAGTAAGGCACCAAGGTTATAGAAAAACTCTTTTTTTTTTGCCCCAGAAGATGAGAGATATTTTTCAATTATTAATTTAAGAAGGACATATGTTTCATACTCAAAATCTCATTTTCAATCTTTCACTTCATTTAGAAGAGATTATTAAAAATTAAGGTAATTTGGAATCCTAGATAAAAATTAGGCTCATTGTGGCAAGTAATTCATAGATGAATATAGCTAGCAGTGATGGGAAAATAATTATCTTAAAACCTCTGACCGAAAATCCAGAATGCACCTAGGATTTTGTTTATATTCAGATATGGTGAGGTCAACACATCAAGAGAAGATGACCATTGAAAATATTGGTGATTATTCACAGTTCCCAAGCCAAGAAGGCATGCCATTCCACGCAGGGCCACCTGGGAATCACCAGGGTTGGTCAGGAGGCAAAAGGAGCAAAGAGAAAGCATGGAGCAGAAGCTTCACTGGGGTTTTCTCAGAAGGGACTGAGTGAAGCAAGATAGAAACACTGGATAGTTTGAATAATTTCAGTGAGCTCTGAACTATAGGAATGGTCCCTAGTTGTCACATATCTAGCCCAATGGTGATTTTAGGCAGGGAAAATATAAAATTGGTGTGTGTGAATTTGATAAAGGAGATGGTTGGGAATACATGCTACAAGTAGGCTGGTTTGTATATCAAAATCATGCTTTCTGACCTAGGATTGCCTAACCCTGGAGGGCGGGTCATCCCTAAATCAAAGAGTAAAATACAGAAAATAAAAAGCATTATTAATATAGACATCATGAGAAGGGGGAAAGAAAGCTTACAGCAAAACCAACTTGCAATTAGGAAGTCGGGGTACAGGGTTGCTAGTAGAAATACAGTGACATAAGCCATTTAATTAATTGTGCAATTTGCTATAGTCTGTATTTACTCAAGACACATACAACAATATAGTAAATAGTGAGTAACATTAAATCATACCAGCTGATCATTTTAAAGATGCCTAATTAAATCGAACTTCAGCATCATCACTGGCAGAAATTGCTGGCATGGGTCTTGGAACAAACCCAGACATGTAATTGAGGCTGATCAAACAATTAAGTGACAGCATATGTCACTTTCTCGTGCTCCATGAAGAGATGATGAAATTATTCTCACCATGTTCATTTGATATATATGCCCCAGTGAAATGTTCTAGAAAACTTAACCCAAAATTACAATAAAGGAAAAAGGAATCTATAAAAATTTTTTAAATGAGGCTCAAAACTTTCTATCTTCATAATATATAGATTCAAAAACAAGTAAGCTGGGAAAAGTAGGATCAAATGAGCTATATGCATAGTCTTTGTACAAACACAAGGGAAAATTCAAAAAACTTCCCTGTTTACCTGCATCACACCATCCTTCATCCAAATGAGAGCCTACAACCACTCCCCAAAATGAAATATCTGACCATGCCTGCAATGTTAAGAAGGATGTCATGAGAGAAGAGTCTGTTGAGGTCAGTGACATACAGTAGCACCCACCATTGGTTTTTCTCAACTCCTCCACAAGGGAGAAGGCTTCCTCTTGAATGCGTTCCTCAATGCTTCTCTTCCCCATCCCAAAATTCCTCAGGGTCATGAGTGAGAAGCGCCGGAGTTCCTTCCATTTCTTTCCATTGCTGAAAATTACTCCTACCAAAAATGAGAAACAGAAGCTAGTAAGAAGATCCCAGGTAAGGAAGAGGAAACTGACACATGGTAGCCACACAAATGGGCAAGCCCTATGTGAGGACCTCTTCAAGTTTCATCCCCATGGACATTACCTGTCACACACACACAAGCACACATGCCAAGTGCACACTTACCAAGGCCTCTGTTAGTTCTATCAATTATTGGGAAAGTGCTTCTTCCAGAAAACTCCTCTCCAAGGTCATCCAAGGCCTCCTTCACTGCTTCATATCCATGTACCACCACAGTGGGCTTCATGCCAAAATACAGAGTGAACACAGGGCCATAGACTTTTGAGAACTGGAAAATGGAAAAAAGACTCTAATAGCAGCAAAAGAAGTCAGTATGACTCACACTGATAGATCATTTTGCTAATATTTTTATCCTGTCAAACACAACTTTAAATCTTGCTGGTTTTCATAAATAAATAAGATGCTGATTGTTATAGCTGCCACACTCAAAATGACTCCCATTTGTCAGAAATTGCCAGGGAAAAGCAATGCAGACTATCACAACTAGTCATACCTTCAGCTGGATTATTTACTCTGTTTCACAGATAAAAAGACTGAGGCTCAAAGAATTTGATATTCATTTCACAATACCATAGCTAATAAGTAGAAGACCTAAGTGTTAACTCTGCTTAGTTGATCTCTGATATCCAAGCCATTTACCAGCCCCCAAAGTCCACATTTGAGCCAATACCAGGACACTGCTTCAGGATTACCTGCTAAGCTCTTCCTATGGGGATCTGACTCAATAGCATCATGACAAATACCATAAATCTACCTTTTTTAAAATCCCCACAGATGATTCTAATACCCAGTCTACTTTGCAATCTGCTGGTATTAATAATTTAGAAAGCTGGCAATGCAAGGCATGCCGTATCCCATGGAAGGAAATCTACTTCATGCTGTGCATTCATAGGTCACAGACAGCAGCTTTGTGCAGAGCTGAAAAGCATACTGATAACACCCAGGTGGCCCTCATTCATTCTTTCTTCCTTTCATTCACATATATTTATTGTAGATCCATAGATGTTTCCTTGACATCAGATGTAATTTGTTTCCTTGGAGAAGTTTAACTGTCACGCCTAATCTAAGCAAAAAACAGAGCATGTGCAGTAGATGACTCTTAAATAAAAACTCTATTCTCAAAACACTTCCATTATCATTTACTTTAGCAAAAAGTCACACCAAACAACTGTGGAACAAAGAATAGTAGTACTTTGTTATTTTCAATCTATCTTTCAACTTAAATATTTCTCTACTGGAAAGATGCATGTATCATTCCAATATTTCTGACACACCAAATAATCCATGTCTAACATTTGCTTTACAATAAAGTAGCTTAATAATTTGCCTCCAGTTATGTATTTTATTTAAAAGTAAGAGTTACTTACCCTTTGCCAGCTACCGCAGGAGCCCAAAATATACTTACATTTGTCAGGGATTTGCTGACATCTTTGAAATCTATCTGCAGGACATTTCCAATAAGCGGGAGAGGAGTAGGGCCAGGAGGGAGCTTCCCTCTCCCAGAGCTCTGCTTCCAGAATGAAAGAAGAAGCAGACAGGAGAGAACGAGCACCAGGACCAGGACTAGAGCCATTGAAGCCTTCTCTTCTTCCTGAGTCAAAAGTGAGTTTCCAATCCAAAATTTTTATTACCCTTCTTCAGTAGATATTTTAACACATGCCTGTCTGAAGGTTATATAAGTGATCAACCAATCAGCTAGGTGCTTTTAATCTCTCCTCTGAGTGGACTCTGGCCCACTGAAAAACATGAAAAGAAGGCGTTCTTTACTCTTGCTCTCCTTTCCACTGTCCCACCCTGGGGAATTCTTGTGTAATTAGCCTGGGGTGGAGCTGGTATACTGTTTTGTTTTTTATTAGTATGCACTAATTTACAAAAAGGTTTCATTGTGACACCTCCATATACACATGGATCATATGTTGAATCAAATTTAGCCCCTCTATTACTTATTCTTATCCCTCCCTGTATTTTATAGTTTACAGTTTTTAGTGGGTTTCATTATGTGCTTTTATACATACAGATAATGTACTTCAACCAGAGTTTTTTTAAACACCCCAAGTGGTTCCAATGTGTGCCAGAATTAAGGACCAATAAAGTTAACTGTTTGACCAAATAATTGTCAAGTTACCAGTTGGGAATTTATGACATTGAGGGCAATTCATATACTTTTTACCATGTATATAAAATAATGTTCATACAGCAATGCCTCTCAAATACTAGGATACTTTCCTTGACTTTTTTATATGGGAAAAGTAGGGGTCTCATTTCATTTTTTGACATACAGAGTTTCCCTAGCCATGTGTTGTGAAGAGACTCTCCTTCTTCAATATATGTTATTGATGCCTTTGGTGGGGGGAGGGAATCAGTTGGCTACAATACCAAAATTGGTACTGAAATTTATATATTGAAATATCTTTTATAAATGTCACAATGTACTCCCAGTACAACAGAATTTTTTTTAAAGAATATGAATTTATTTCTGGGTTTTCTATTCTATTCCATTCTTCCATGTGTTCATTGTTATGGAATTCTTTTATTTTTTTTACTGTTTATTCACTTATATGGCATTCTCTTTTAGCTACAATTCTGTTGTAGTATATTTTGAAGTCAAGTACTATACTGCTTTCAGGTTTGTTCTTTTTGCTCAGAATTGCTTTGCTATTTTGCCAATTTTGTGTCCCCTTATGAATTTTATAACTGTTTTCTTCTAGAGGCTGGGGAAAGTGCTCAAGTGATAGAGCACTTGCCTAGCAAGCATAAGGCCCTGAATTAAACCCCAGTACTGCCACAAAAAAAAGGAAATACTATTTTAATTATTTTAATTGTTTTCCCTAATTTTTTGAAGAATGCCATTGATATTTGATGAGGAGTGTACTAGCAAAATCACTGCGTCTTTCTTATTATCTCTTATGTTTTCTCTTCAACAAAATCAGAGAACAAGAGGATGGAATAGGTTCTGCCCAGAAGTGGGGGAGGGAGAACAGGGGGTAGGGGGTACATTTACTCACATGTGTAAATGTGAGTAAATGTAAAAATTATGAAATAAAAAACAAAGAAAAAGGTAGCGTTTTGCTCATTTGAGATAAAGATATCTATACAGACAGATTCCTAGTGTTGTTATCATGCACATGTGTATTAAAGCCATATTGGTTCATCTCTACCAGACCTCTTCACTACTTCCTAGTCCCCTTCCCATAGTGGCCACTGCCAGTTTAAAATTACTATATTTGCTTCTATACAGTAAGCATATCAACCACATTCAAGTTTTAGAGTTCCTTCCCTTTCCTTATTTGTCCATGCACTTTCTTCCCTTAGTGTGTGACCCACATCCAATAATATTTCTGCATTTGTTTTAGGCCTCTAATTCACATACAAGGAGAACATGCAATTTTTGGCCTTCTGAACCTAACTAACTTCACTTAAGATAATGTTCTCCAGTTCCATTCATTTACTTGCGAATGACAAAATTTCATTCTTCTTTGTTGCCGAATAGAATTCCATTGTGTTTAAATACCACATTTTATTAATCCATCGTCGATAGTGGAGGATCTTGGCTATTTCCATAGCTTAGCTATTGTGAATAATGCTGCAATAAACATGGATGTTGCAGGTTGTTCTTTGTAATACTAGTCACATTCCTTCGGGTATTTCTGAGAAGTGTATTGCGCGGGATTCATATGGCAGATCTGTGTTTAGTTTTTTAAGAAGCCTCCATATTGTTTTCCAAAATGGTTGTACTAGCTTGCATTCCCACCAGCAGTGTATGAGAGTTCCTTTTTCCCCTCATTCTGGCCAACATTTGTTGTTGTTGATGGTCTTGATGATAGCTATTCTATCAGGAGTGAGGTGGAATCTTAATGTGGTTTTGGTCTACATTTCCTTTATGGCCAGGGATAGTGAATATTTTTCATGTGTGTTTTGGCCATTTGGACGTTTTCCTTTGAGAAAGTTCTGTTTAGTTCAGTCGCCCGCTTCTTTATTAGTCCATTCATTTGGGGGAGTTTAGTTTTTTGAAGTCCCTGTATATTCTGGTTATCAGTGTCTTGTCTCTAATGTTATAGCTAGGCAAAAGAGTTTCTCCACTCTGTGGGTGATCTCTTCAATTTAGAGACCATTTCTTTTGTTGTGCAGAAGCTTTTTAATTTCATGTAGTCCTGTTTGTCCATCCTTTCTCTTACTTGCTTAGCCACCTGAGTTCTACTGAGGAAGTCCTTGCCTATACCTATTGCTTCCAGAGTATTCCCTGATCTTTCCTATACTAGCCTCAAGGTTTTGGGTGTGATATTAAGGTTCTTAAACCACTTTGAGTTGATACTAGTTCAGGGTGACAGGCATGAAGGTAGTTTCAGTTTTCTGCAGGCAGATAACCACTTTTCCCACCAACGTTTTTTAAAGAGGCTGTCTTTTCTCCATTGTATAATTTTGGCAACTTTGTCAAAAAATTAGGTGATCCTAGCTGTGTGAATTCATATCCGGGTCCTCTATGCTGTTCCACTGATCTTCATGACTCTGACTCCTTTCATAAAGCAACAGGAAGTCCCTTATTTGACTCCAAGGATAACAGAACCAGAGGTGCTCAAGAAAAGAAATAAAAGAATTCTTCCTTCTATATCACAGTTTCTCTTGTTTTTGGTCTGTCCTTATCAGAAATGAAAAATGACAAGGAAGGGAAATTATACAAAGAGCAGAGGTGTGGTTGCACTAGAGGGTGGGAATTAGGGAAATCATTAATTCCACAGCTCAGAATGACTACAACATGCACAACTGAACAAGATGAGACATTTACTGGCCATGAGGATCTAAATACCACTGAAATGATATACATTACTATCTAGTAATGTAGATAGCTAATGACAACGATCAAGCAAAGGTATGTTTTGTAACAATATCATCGCACTTGTTCTAAATTCACTAGTGTAGTTGTTTGTAAGCTCTTTTAGTAAGAAAAATTAAGTCTCATAAAAAAGGCATTATACAACGCTTCACTGTCATGTTTAGAGGTATTCTGACAGTTTTCACACCCATCATATCCCTTTGAATTTTCTCAATTTCATTTTCCTAAGGTAAAACAAATTAGAGCTGGGAAGCCACCTTAGAGATTCAGTGCTTTGGTCAAAGACACGCAGACTGGAGATGGCAGAGTCCATACTGGGACCTTTGTGACCTGCAACTTGCACCCTTCCCTGCAAGCAAGACACTCAGTTCATCTGGGTTTATCAATATTCACTATGTACTTTGATTCACTATTTTATGACTCAGCTTCAGTGACCTTTAAAATAAACATGAATTTAGTTAATAATTACAGCAGAAATGGGTTAAACTTGGTGTCAAAAAAGTTTGATATATAACATTTATTACTTGAATGAATGCAAGGCTTGGTGAATCCTTTATGTGGGGCAAGGAGAAGCAGTAATTTGCTACCTGATTCACATATCTCTATATTCCAGTAGAATCCTAGTCATTCTCTTTATAACAAACTTTTTATTCCTTGGAACAGCCCTTACCACTACATCTGCACTGTGTACATTGGACTTTGAACCTCCAGAACTGTGAGTTTAAAAAAATCTTTCTTGTTAAGTAGCTTGTTTCAGGTATTTCTTTATAGTAATGGAAAACTAATACAGTGTTTCACTTCACAACTATTCTACAACTTCTTTTTTCCATGATTTTGTTATGGACACTTTTGCTTCTGGCATGAGGTTATTTTGAACATTGCTAATATGTACAATCCTATACATTTTTTGTCACTCCAATGGATTGCATTTGTGTTTAATATGTACTTATGAGTGGAATTCTTGAATATGCATATGAATGCTTTCACTCTAAGTAAATTTTGTCAAAGAATTATTCAAATGGTTGTCCCAATTTATTATTTTAATATGAGAGTGCCAAAATAATCTGTCTTTTTTTAACCATTCTGGCAAATTATATAATAATATAATAACATCTCTTGAAGTTTCAATTAACATTTTCATAAAATTTATTGATGCTAAGCACATTTTCAGAGGCCTCTTAGGAATATCAACTCTTGTGAAATGCTAATTATTTTGTATGTATAAGCCCACAGTTAGCTTCATTCTTTTTAACAATCATAAATGTGTAAAAAAAAAAAGGTGCTAGCGCATAGAAATGTTTTATTACAAACCATGTGAAATAAAATTGCTTTGATTCAAATAGGAATAAACCCAACCAAGGAAGTGAAACACCTCTACAATGGAAACTGTAAAACTCTGAAGAAAGTAATTGGTGAAGACACTATGAGATGGAAAGACCTTCCATGTTCATGGCTCAGCAGAATTAATATTGTAAAAATAGCTATTATTACTGAAAGCAACCTATAGATTCAATGCAAAATTCCTTGATATTCTTCACAGAATAGGAAAAAATAATCCTAAAATTCATATGAAGGCACAAAAGAACCCAAATAACCAAAGCAAAAGCATAACCCTGGAGATATCACAACACCTAATTTCAAATTATACTACAGCACCTTATTAACAAAACAGCCCACTGCTGGCATAAAAACAGATACATAAACCAATGAAATAGCATAAGAAACCCAGAAATAAACCAAGGTAACTATA